ATACGTGCAACAACCTGAATGAATCTCCAGGGAAAAAAAAAAAAAAAAAAAAGCCAATCCCAAAAGGTGACATACTATATAATTCTATTTATATAACATTTTCAAATGATAAAATTATAGGAACAAGAACAGATTAATGGTTTCCAGGAGTCAGGGATGGCAGGGGTAGGGGTGAGAACTATAAAAGCAACACAGGAATCCTTGTTGTCATTGAACTGTATCTTAGTTGTATCAGTGTCAATATTCTGGTTGTGATTTTAGTCTTTGGTAGCCCATCAGTTGACTATAGCATTTCCAACATTGAATCCTTATTAGATTACCATAAGATAGTAGAAAACTTGTTTTTCCCTTTGAATTAATTTTTTCCTTCAGTTTCTTTTTGTGACTGGCCTTTTCTCACAAAATGTATGTTAAATGTAATATTTTTCCACTAAAACAATGTTGTAAATAGATTCCCAGACCAGATTGTGAAAGCCAACTTCACCCATAATTTAGCTGAACATTAAAGTATTTTAGCTATATCATAAGTTAAACAGATTTGAGATGACAGAGAAAACCTGTAGCGAGAATATACCGATCCCTACTCCGTCCCACCAGTGCAACTATAGATGCCCAGTCCAAAGTAAAAAGGGCCAGGGATGACATTGTGTTTGCCAGTTGTTGTTAGGTGCCGTCGAGTTGGTTCCGACTCATAGCAACCCTGTGTACAACAAAGTGAAGCACTGCCTGGTCCTGTGCCACGCTCACAACCGTTGCTGCCTTTGAGCCCATTGTTGGAACCACTGTGTCAGTCCATCTCATTGTCTTCCTCTTTTTCCCTGACCCTCTGCTTTACCAAGCATGATGTTCCTCTCCAGGAACTGATCCCTCCTGATAACATGCCCAAAGTACGTGAGACGAAATCTCGCCGTCCTCGCTGCTAAGGAGCATTCTGGTTGTACTTCTTCCAAGATAGATTTGTTCATTCTTCTGGCAGTCCATGGTATATTAGATATTCTTCACCAGTGCCATAATTCAAAGGCATCAATTCTTCTTCTATCTTATTCACTGTCCAGCTTTTACATGCATATGAGGTGATTGAAAATATCATGGCTTGGGGTCAGGCACACCTTAGTCATCAAAGTGACATCTTTGCTTTTTAACACTTTAAAGAGGCCTTTTGCAGCAGATTTGCCCAATGCAATATGTCATTTGATTTCTTGACTGCTGCTTCTGTGGTTACCACATGCTATCCTTGTAGTAGTGTCCAGCCTCAGATGTATCACTAGGAGAGATTAAGTGGCTTGAGTAATA